TTATTAGAAGTAATTATTAATTTTTATATTGAGATACAAATCTTTTTGTACTAACCTATAATTATATATAAAAAATTTTATATATTTAAATAATTTTAAACTATAATAAATTTAAAAATAAATTTTTTATTTATAAAATTATTATTATTAATATAATATATTTAATAAATAAAAATACTTAAAAAATTATATTAATATATTAAAATAAAAATAAAATATTTATAAGAAATAATTATAATTATCTTATTTATTTATAATATATTATTTAAATTTATAATAATTATTATTTATATAATATAAAATAAAAAAATAAGAATTTAAAACTTATTATAATTAATAATAATAAAAAATTATTTAAATAATATAAAAATTTTTATATATATAATTTAATATCTATAAAAAAAATTTACTTAAGATTATTATATTAAAGAATATTAATACATTTTTTTAAATTAATTTTTTAGAATAAAAAATTAATTTTAGAAAAATAATTAGAAAAATTTTATATATAAAAAAGTTTATAAAAATATTATATAAAAAATAATTTTAATTATATTTTTCTTTATTATAAAAAGAAAATTTATTAAATTTTTATCAAAATTTTACTAGAAATTTTCTTATAATCTAATAAATAAACTTAAGAGTAATATTATTAAAATTTTTTAAAAAAGTTTTTATAATAAATTTAAAAAAAATAAATTTTTGAACTTAAATTCAAAGTATAAGAGATATTACTAAGATTTTTATTAAATTATATTATTATTTTATTCTTAAATATTAAAATATATATATAAAGTATTTTTATTATATTATTTTTATATAAATTTTTATTTTTTTGTTACAGACCATATATTAATTACTATTATTTGAAATATTAATAGAATAATTTTTTAATTATTACCTATACTATTTGAATTGGAACTTGTATCAATATTTTATTATTAATTAAACTCAGTTAGCTTTTTTTTTAAATTAATAAAAAATTTGCTGTTATAATTTAATATAATTTAATATAATATACTAATTTAAATAAATTCAATCCATTAATATAAAATCAAGTCAGAGATTTAAATATCTGTGATATGATTTATTAATATCAAGAATTCTAAATTCTAAACTTGTATTATAAGAAAAATAAGTTGATTTTTCTATTAATTTATTTATAAAACCGTACATTTCATATAATTTCAACATGTACATTTACTCTGGAAAAAGCATATTTAGTAAAAGCAGATTGAAAAATAATATAGAGCAGCATATAAATAATATAGCAATAATTCTGCGTGCCTATTTTTTAATCACTACATGAAGACTAATTCAAATGAAAAGTGATAATTTTTTCAATTGCTTCAAGCTTTTTACGATTTCGAGTTGAAACAGAATTGGTTTAATTGTGAAAATATTAAAAGTACGTAAAATGCATCCTACCATTCAAAGTTGTTGGTCGCTTATTCATGAATTGTTGATAGTAACACTGATCTTTGAATAGTTTCTTTAGTTTTGAAGTATTGCATAATCTCAATGGTCCAATTTTCTGATGGTCCTAAACGTCTCTTATAAATCGCTATTCTAATATTAGGAAACCGAAACGTGAGAAACTTTTGGATTTCAAATGTATAAATATCAACCAAACGAAAGCCAATTTGTTCGAATGATTTAAAATCAAATTCTCCGGGAAAAACATATGGCAATTTATCGGAGTAAAAGATAAACTTCAAAAGGTCCGAATAGCCACGTTCAATATTCCAAATTATGAATTCAATTATTTTCTCAAGTAAGTGGTCTAGTTGTCGAGCGAGATTCTCATAGGCGTTGTCTTCGTCACGTTGACTGCTTTTAAGAAATTCATCTCGTTGACTTTTAAGAATGTCAATTTGAAAAAAGTCGAATTCCTCTTGAATTTCATCACGTGTAATCATAACATCCATTGGATTTCCTTCGATATCTTTCCAAAGAAATTTTCCGGTGCGATAAAATTCCATAATATAATGAAACGCTCTACTATTTCTATCGAAAAAATATTCATTGCTGTTCGTTGGATGTGTCATCGACGAATTACGCTCTTGAAACATAGTTCCGAGCAAAGTGTCAGGATACGCTGTTAAGGTGCTTTTATACGTTTCATACTACAGGACATGTAAAATTACATACACGTATGGCAATTTGAGTAATACATGTACAAGCAAAAATTACCTTAACACCACCAACATTCAAAATAATTTTCTCTTCTTTAGACATTTTAAAAATTTTGCAAAATAGAATTCTAAGATATTCAACTAGAAAAGAAGATGCTTCTTGAAGCTTTATAACAGTGATTATGGGCAAACAAAACTAAAAAGGTTAATCCTTTCTATCTCAAGTCATAATGAAAAAAATATGACGGTAATCAGCTTTCGATCTCAAGTCATAATGACGGTAATCGGCAAACACGTTTATTTAGAAATGATTCTTTTAAAAATGAACTTTTTATCTAAAAAACAGTAAACTAGATAAACTCGGTAAATTGAACCAGAAATGCTCAATATCCCAAAAATTAGGGATGGTGTGGATTAGTGAACTAAAAAAAGAAAAAAAAAAAAAAAAAAGGAAATGAAATCGTTATGGGTTGGGTAAATATTGAATCGAAGGTGATTTTGTATACTATGTATAGAAATTACCAACCTGAAACACTTGAATCGACCCTGAAATGCAACAGTGTCATCGCCATAGTGTATCTTTGTTGACATTATGGATAACAAAAAATCGTATTGGATAACTTTGTTGTTATTTTTGTTTATTTTTGTAATATTCTATTATGTAGATTTCTCACGTTCGATTTTCTTGCGTTGTCGTTGCAATTAAAATGAGATTTTTTTTTCACACATCAGAACCACATGGGTGACTCCGCATAATTGTCGGGACTTTCACAATTTCCATACACACTTTCATCACTTTCATTCACCTAA